GGCCACACTGCCGTCAAAGGATTGTCCTTCCGTTTTGCACGCTAGGGCTTTCTGTATTGCAGTGGTTTTCCATCGGCCGTTTTCTAGAGAAACTACATGCCTGACTGCTGCTTCCAAACGCAGCTGAGAACAGCTTCCTGTCTATATTGCCGCTGCCTCTCCAAGTGAACTACTTGCGTAAACACAAAAGGCATGGCCTGGGTATACGGGCCACCCAACCAAGTGCACGAGCTAGCACCTTACCGATACTCAAGTCGGTAACGCTTTCGCACCTTCGCAAATGCTCACTCTGAGGCGTTTTTGCCATAATTCAATGCCCCACATAGCTTTCACCTAGGTTTCACTTCCTGTTTCACCCCTGCATGACGTACCTGAGTCTCCCTACTGGCCCTGCTGTTTTTGTTTGGTTGGTTTTTTGTTGGGGGTTTTGTTTGGTTTTTGGTGGTTTTTGTCTTTGCCCCGCCCTGGCCGGAGACTCATTCACAAGTAGCACAAGCTGACCTGTGCATTCTCTGCACACATGGCGGCTCCACCCGTGCAAAAAATGAAGTCAACAGGAACATCTTCTTGACCCAGCGAATCACCAGATCAAATGTGACCTTCTCACCACTGACACAAGGAGGTGCATATGCCAGCTCCACATACGACATGCAGTGCTGTGCATGAGTGGACCAACTCGGCCATGCAAAAAGTTCACAAAATGATCCAGCAACTTCGACTTGGCCCCAGGCTTCTCATACAGCCTTTTTGCACTGATTCAACGCCCGATTTATGTCTCACACGGGCTTCACCTCGCATTTACACTCAAGAGTCTTCTGCTTTCTTTCCCTGGCTGGTTGTTGTTTGGTGGTTGTGTTTGTGTTTGTGTGGTTTTTGTTGTTTGGCACTTCATGCAAAAGACTCTTTCAAAAACAGCGCAAGCTGACCTATGCATTTCCTGCATGAATGGCGGCTCCACCCGTGAAAAACAAAGTTCAAAAAATGATCCCATGATTCAGCAGCAACATGGTTGATTTGCTGAGGAAGGCGCACACAAGAGGAAGGAATTTTGGGCTTCCAACCAAAAGAAGAAAAAGGCTCGTGCCACGCCCATTTAGGAAACATGGTTTGAAGCTGCGCATCATTGAGTTGTTCAACCAGGGGTTCATCTTTTCCGCTATGATCAGCAGCAGAGTCTTGTTCCACAATTTTCTGCCCCAACAAACAATTCATTTGTGTCAACCTTTCCTACCTTTGGAGGATCTGCGCAACCAGGAAGGGCACGTTTCCAAAGCAGTCTTTTTGGGCAACTTGGTCTGCAGTACGGTTCAACGCAATGTTGCCGTGTAGATCCTGCACGAACAGCAAGCTCATCCGTGAGGTCCGCAGTTGGAACATGTGGCAACAGATGTGAAGGAACCCACACCAGACGGTGATCCGGATGAAAAGCCCGTCGCTCACGCCAGATCCCAACAATCCAGAGCCACCACGTGCGATGGGAAACATTCTGAGGGATCCCACGGACTTGAATCTGAGCACAAAACTTCACAACAGTCTCTGAGTCTGTGCACACGGACCAGCAGGCCATAATCACCCCCCACAACTCTGCTGCATGGGATGACAAGGAAAAATGGAAAACAGGGCCTGTTTCCACAACATTGCCAATCACATCAATGACCGAGAATGCAGCTGTTGTAAGCCAGAAAACATCAGCCCACAGTAGCGAACCATCTGTCCAATATTCAACAAGTTCACGGTCCGCCTCAAAGGCTGAGGTGCAAGGAAAGGTGGTGAAGCATCGTAGTCGCAACATCGCCACCTCATAAGGATGACTCCGAGACCAAATGATGCAGGGTTTCTTTCTGCTGGCCACAGAACCGGCATTGGTCATCATCAACAAGTCCCGCAGCTTTAAGGCGATCACGGGTGAGGGAACACCCGACTTGCTGGAAGTCAAAGAAAGTGGTTGCAAAAAATTGGTTCTCGTCTCAACCTGAAGGGATGACTTCTTGCGGAAGAGGTTGGACAGATCAAAATCGAAGGATCCCTTTAGGTTTGAAGAAATCTTTGCGCTTTTCGATTCGCGAACCAGTTTGTAGCAGACATCTCTGGCCAAGTGCGTCAACACTTTACGAATATCTTTGGAATGCAAAAATTCCAAGGGTATACCATTAGAACAATTACGAAAGTGGAGGCAAAAGCTCCGGCTGAGCCCAAAGCCAAACACCATGAAAGCACTGCACACCTGGTCCACCGATGGGGTTTACCCAACAGGCCCATGACAAGCCATTTTGCTCTCCAATGAGGCCGCTGAATGCAAAGCACATTGGCCACTTCATTTTGTATTTTCTTCACGGCCAGTTTTGGCATTTTAGCGATTGCAGCTCCATAAGTACACTGTGGAATGACTTTGGCAGAGATCAACAAATACTTCAATCTCACTGGCAACGGTAAGGCAAGGATGTTGCGGGTGTCAAGTAAAATCTTCTCCAGTTTGGAGTCAGTGAATTGAAAGCTATCCCGATCCGACGTGTACATTTTCACACGTTGGAGGCGATCGCTTCTAGGTTGCAGGCCATTTCTAGTAGGTAGGAGGCCATCGCTTCTAGGTTGAGGCCATCGCCAGTAGGTTGGAGGCCATTGCCAGAGTAGGTTGGAGGCAATCGCTTCTAGGTTGGAGGCCATCGCTAGTATGTTGGAGCCAATAGCTGGTAGGTTGGAGGCCATCGCTAGTAGGTTGGAGGCCATCACTTTTAGGTTGGAGGCCATCGCTAGTAGTTTGGAGGCCATAGCTAGTAGGTAGGAGGCCTACTAGGTTGGAGGCCAGCGCTAGTAGGTTGGAGGCCATCGCTTCTAGGTTGGAGGCGGACGCTAGTAGGTTGGAGGCCATCGCTTCTAGGTTGGAGGCGAACGCTAGTAGGTTGGAGGCCATCGCTAGAGTCTCCCGTACTTAATTAAGTAGGCGCCGCCTACTGGCTGCCCCGGTTGAAACACGCGCACTTTCGTCCTTGATTCTTGGCGTCCTTGATTCGTCCGATTGCGGTTGGACCTCAAAGATTTCCAGTCGCACTAGGGAAGGTTGACAAACTCTAGGTCAGCTCAAGCAACGATTGAACCTGCAGGCTGGCAACCTACAGTTTGATTGGTCTGCATCACTGGCACCTCTACTCAGTACTTGGGAGTTCCAAAGCCACAGGTTGCAAACTCTGGGCTAGCTCAAGCCATGGGCAACCTACAGTTATATCACCTTTATCCAATAGTTGATCCGAGGTTTGAGTTCCAAAGCCGTAGGTGAGATGGGTTGGTGTCTAGCTCAAGCCATTATTAAAACCTGTAGGTTGGCAACCTACAGTTTGATAGGTCTGCATCACTGGCACCCCTACCCTATAGTTGAGCTGGGAGTTCCAAAGCCGAAACTGTAGGTTGGCTCAAGCCACCCCTACCCAATAGTTTAGCTGGGTTGGAGTTCCAAAGCCGAAACTCTAGGTTGGCTCAAGCCATGATTGAACCTGTAGGTTGGCAACCTACAGTTTGATAGGTCTA